GGAAGTGTGCCAATATACTGAAACTGAGATTTATCAGGTTGTTTCAACCTAAATTCTCCAACTTGCCCACATTTATAGGTAGCACTCTCACCCCCTTTTAACCACACTTCCCTTTTGGCTGAGAAATTATGCCTGTCTCATAAATATACATGCCAGAAAGGCAAATGTAGATGATTCACTTTTCTTAAGAACACTGGTTTGTTGAATTACATTTTCTGTCTGATAAAACCCTTCTTCAGTAGAAATAGTTGAAGAATCCCTGAGTGAGAATGATTGTCAACATAATTCTTCAGTGACATTTATTAGGCAAATTGGAGGAAAGTAGGTGGGTCAGGAGTGGCCAGAGAAGACCCAAGGAGGAAGCAGTACTTTTGGACAGGAAAGATAGAGTACTGGCTTGGGCACACAGGATATTTGGATTTTAAGAGTATCTCTGTCAGTAATCAGCTGTACAATCTTTGCACTTAACCTCTCTGTACCCCAAACTCCTTCATCTGTTTAACAACTGAGGTTGGATTAGAGGCTCTGTCTCAGAACCCTGTCAAAAACCCACAAGGTGCCTGGGGTAGTTCTTTTGGAAATAAGGTCATGTGTAATGCATAATAGCAAATGATGCAATCTTAGTGTCATACACTCTAGATGGGGTTGTAAGACCGATCATTCTGTGCAAGGTTTCTATCCTTCAGAAACAAGTATGGACTAGTAGGCTTAGAAGTTAAGAGCATGAGTTATGGAGTTGGACCATAGTTTGAAAACCAGTTATGCCACTTCCTAATGGGTGCCCTGGGACAAATGATTTCACCTCCCTGAACATCAGTTTCTCCTTTGTAAGATGATGTAATAAATAGTACCAGCCTCATAGGCTTGTGAAGATGAAAGGCAATAGTATGTAAGGCATTTATCCCAGCACCTGGCAAAATAGAAGTACTCAGTCATCCATGTCTGCTACAACTATTGTCATGCTTATTTCTATCAATGTAATTCTCTTGACTTGGGCATGGCTACATTTCTGCACTTTTCTGGATATAGCTTTCTCTTTCTGCATGGAATTTGAGAAAAGCATAAGTAGATCTTTCTGGCCTAATGCCAACTCTAGAGTCAGACCTGGATTCAAATACCTGCTCTGCTTCTTACAGACTGTGGGACCTTGGGCAAATTGTTTAACTTTTCTGCTCCTTACTTCCCTAATATGTAAAATGCAGGCAGGTGTACTGCCTACCCCTAAGGGTTGTTGTGAATAAGATCATGAATGTGAAGAACTTAGGCCTGTGCCTAAGGCCTGACATCCAGAAGGCTCTCAATAAATGTTGGCTGTGATACTGATGGTGAAAGTAATAGTTGTAATAATAGTAAATACTACCACTACCCTCCATGGGATGGAAGACTGATTGTGTTCAAGTTTGTACAGTTTTTGCATACCTAACCAAAGTGTTGGGAGAGGCAGTAATTGTTCTTCCTGGCGGGATAGCAAGGGAATTGCTGCCAGGCTTCACAGACCATGGCAGGGAGCTTAAAACCGACTTGTTTTCAGGTGCATGACTGAAAATGATTCAGCAGGGCATAATTCTCAGCAGAAAAGTTCTATTTATTTCTGCCAGTCCTCTTACACCCAAGAACCTTAGGGGAAAAAAATGTAATCACAAAATGACCCTCCACTTCTAAGACTCGATTTCAGTTGGTTCACCCATAACATGTTGTTCATAGGCTTCATGAGGAACATTTGGGTGCAAAGACCTAAAGCCTCTGTTCTTATTTGCCAAGGTCATCTTCATTCTCAAACGGATGCCACCTAACTTTTCTTAAGCCTCTCCGCAGGTATAAGCTTCATTTGACGGCTAGAACATAGATGTACAGGAACAATGGGAATCCTCAGGGATATGATGTTAGATAGGTGGACTTGTAGGGGGACTTTAGAGGTATTAGTAAGTAGAAGTGAAAAAACTGAGCAGTACTAACAATTCTAGAGATGAGCCCATTTGCTGAGGGAGGGATATGAGATGTTTTTTTTTTTTTTTATTTCCCTCCAGTTTTCTCTTTAATACCCTGCTAAAAGTCTAATAAGAGAAAGAAAACAGCCAGTCAGTGCAAGTGAAGCTAAACACCAGATTTCCTGTCATTCCCAGATCACTCCTGGTTGGGAGGGTGTTGGCCCTTATGCACAAGAGGGTGTAAGACTGCTCCCCTCCAGGCACCTGCCCTCTGCCCCTGGCCCCATACTTTCTCTCAGTCTTGCTGTCTCCCCTCTACCCTTCATATAAGGAATACTAACCACAGGATCCAGAGGAAGCTTCACAGGGATTTTCTAGTAACATCTCCTCTGTGTCCCAGGTATCCAGTTGTTTTTTTCCCCCTGGGTTCTGAGGTTATAGAAATGAAAAATGGATTTCAATTTTAGACCGAGATTTAGGGGTAGTTTCTGACATCTCAAAAAACACTTCCTCTGCTCTTCTACAAGATTTCTCCCACTCAACTCTCATTCTCACCCCTCATCCCCAGAGCAGTGTCTCTCTCTTCCTCAATGGGTCTGGCCAAGTCTAGGCCCCTCCATATAGGTATAACAACCCAAGGCCCTGGGGTGGCTTGAAAGGCTAGATACTTTGGAGAGCAGAGGCAACATAATATTGACAGTTGACCATCATTGAAAATGGGGTCCCTAGGAACATTGAGAAGGAGTGGCCATTAACAACAATGGGCCTAACAGACACATGAAAAGATGCTCAATGTCACTCCTCATCAGGGAAATACCAATCAAAACCACACTGAGATACCACCTCACACCAGTCAGAGTGGCTGAAATGAACAAATCAGGAGACTATAGATGCTGGAGAGGATGTGGAGAAACGGGAACCCTCTTGCACTGTTGGTGGGAATGCAAACTGGTGCAGCCACTCTGGAAAACAGTGTGGAGGTTCCTCAGAAAATTAAAAATAGACCTACCCTATGACCCAGCAATAGCACTGCTAGGAATTTACCCAAGGGATACAGGAGTACTGATGCATAGGGGCACTTGTACCCCAATGTTCATAGCAGCACTTTCAACAATAGCCAAATTATGGAAAGAGCCTAAATGTCCATCAACTGACGAATGGATAAAGAAGATGTGGTTTATATACACAATGGAATACTACTTGGCAATGAGAAAGAATGAAATCTGGCCATTTGTAGCAACATGGATGGAACTGGAGGGTATTATGCTAAGTGAAATAAGTCAGGCAGAGGAAGACAGATACCATATGTTTTCACTCATATGTGGATACTGAGAAACTTAACAGACTTACCATATTCTCTAACAAAATATCAGGTTGTGGAAAACTTTCCATGTCAGTAAATATAAGTCAACATTATCCCTTTTAATGTCTACATCATATTCCATTGTATGAATGCACCATAATTTATTTAGCCATTCCCTATTGTTAGCCCTTTGCTTGTTTTCAACTTTTAGCTATTGTACACAATGTTGGGTTTCCATTTTTAAAGTTCTTAATATGTATATATACATATTGAGAGAGGGAGAGCAGAAGAGACATAGACAACCAAACTACTCACCATAAAGTAGTGAGTAGTACATAAAGGTTGTACTAATTTGTACTTACACCACTGGAAATCATAGCCTTCAAGATAACCTGATAGCTGTGCAAACAAAAATCTTGTGTCAGCCAGTGCTGGAGTGCTGGGGCATCATACTGGGCTACTAGATGATGGTCCCCAAGCACTCTCCCTGTACTTCATTAACTTCTTCTAACTACTAACCATAGTATGAGAAAAGAGCTTCAGACTCAAAATAGGAATATTCTTGTATAAATCATGAGAGAAGGCCTATATATATTTCCTGACTAACCACTGGTCCAGCATTACCTTTAAAAGGATCATCTTCAATGCAAATTGGTGCAGCCACTCTGGGAAACAGTGTGGAGGTTCCTCAGAAAATTAAAAATAGACCTACCCTATGACCCAGCAATAGCACTGCTAGGAATTTATCCAAGGGATACAGGAGTACTGATGCATAGGGGCACTTGTACCCCAATGTTTATAGCAGCACTCTCAACAATAGCCAAGTTATGGAAAGAGCCTAAATGTCCATCAACTGATGAATGGATAAAGAAATTGTGGTTTATATACACAATGGAGTACTACAGGGCAATGAGAAAGAACGAAATATGGCCTTTTGTAGCAACGTGGATGGAACTGGAGAGTGTGATGCTAAGTGAAATAAGCCATACAGAGAAAGACAGATACCATATGGTTTCACTCTTATGTGGATCCTGAGAAACTTAACAGAAACCCATGGGGGAGGGGAAGGAA